ACCAACATTTTTCAATGGTCGAGCTATTTCTAAACAAAATAAGTCAAATGCAGATCGTGCTAAAATAAATACAAAAATTAATAAATGTCAACCTCCACACAAGTATTAAAAATAGTATACAGCTGTGGAAGAAATAATAGAAGCAAGTTAAGAGTTGTCGAATTCGAATAAAATCTTGCGCATCTTATTTTTAGGCCAAAATACATATTTTTCCACCCGGGAAGATGTATGTATGTACATTTCAAAAACAGTTTAAATAACGAACAGTCTAATGTGCTTGCGATATTTGTATCTACAATATCATGATTCAATAATACAAGGTTCGATAAACTGACAGTTGTCTCTCTCGCACCGCTCCCTTAGCAGTGGCACCGTGTTGCTTCTTTGCAAATTTACATGGAAACAGTGTAGCTTTGGTGTGAAATAAAAGTATAAGCTTTTGTGCAATATGTTTATTTGTATATGCATATGAAGCATATTTAACTGATGAAAACATAAGCATTGGATGTTTACATCAATCTCATAGTAGTCTTATTTTAATTTTGAGTCATTTTGCAGTTTTTATACGGCTAAATAGCATATAAATTACGTAATTCACGTAGATATATCAATATTACATTCAACATTTCGTTTGAAAGGCCAGATTTCCTGCAAATACATTAGAATTTAGAAAAGGAATTTCACTACTAATTGCCTACTTTGCGTACTCTTCTACTACCATTTTAGCAACAAGGGATTGCATTCTTGCCCTTTCTCTGTCCTTCGTAAATGCAACCTTTTGTAAGGGAGTGTCAAACCGCAGCTGTCAATAATTATCTAACCTTGTATTATTGAATCATGTACAATATGTTGTTTATTCGCATACTCCTACTGGCGTCGAGATGTGTTTATATCATCAGTAGGCTTCTCATGTCCAATTTGTTCGCTCTCTACTTCACACCACAAACATGTATGTATATACTTACGTGTAGGTTTGCTTTTTATTTGTTTTCATTCTGTTAAACCTTTGAAATGAATAAATTTTAGATATTTGGTCGATTTTTATCTTTTTAGCTAGTTGTTATGTGTTCATGTTTTATTGCAATGCGGTTGACATTCTGTCGTCGCTCACATCGCATCGCTTTTGCCCCATAAATTCCTAGCTGTACATGACATATGTATGTATGTACGTTTTCGCTTCACCGAAGTCTTTCTCTACTTTCGCGAATTGCAGAAATCACGTTTTCCGCATTTCAAGATTTTGTGTTGATGTATTCCAAGAGCATTTACAATTAGTACATATTTATGTGATGATATGTGTCTATTCATTACTGTTGTTTTTGACAGTTTAGACCGAGGAGAAAGCTTGCGTTTCCGAATAAGAAGAGTGTTATAGGAAAAGCCAAGGATTATTAGTACCTACCTTTTTCGAACTTATGGGTCGATTACGGATAGCAACGCAACCACGGTTCGGTTGCCAGCTGGCAACGCAACTGGAAAGAAAATTTGTATTACGAATGGCAACTATCGTCAGTTTCTGTAGAGTTATCGATAATCGAAATTTGACAGTTCGACAACCAGCAAGCGGCTGTAAACAAGCTGTGCGAGTAAAATTAAATTATTAAAATAAAGGCTTTTAAATTAAAGAAAGGACTCCAATAAAACTAAGTTCATCACAATTATTTGTTTAAGAGGAAGACAAGTGTATGAACGCTGCCTCAATCAGGCGACTTTTAAGGGATAATTCCAATCCTCTAGAGCTACCTCCTGCCCTGTAAGCAAAAGTTAATGCTTTCAAGGCTTTTCTTTTATTACCGGTTTGTGTTCATTTTCAAATCATATTGAAGCTGTAATTGGTTAATAAACAGATGAACCACTTCTCGGAGAGGTCCTTTCCAATTCTGACGGAGCTGGTGGTATTGCTCAACTACATTTTACACAGTCGTATTAGTTTGGCGGGGTACCAAATTCAAAGCGGCTTTGACGTCGACAAAGAGACGGTGAGAGTCGGTATTTTTTTCACGGGTATTTCCAATATTTGTCGTAAGGTGAATACCTGGTTTATAGTGGATTTACCAGGTCTAAAGCTACACTGCCAAGGACCAATCAATTCGTTGACGGTGAGCTTCAGTCTTTCACACAATACGCTCGATAAAACCTTGAAACCTATTTCTTGGGGGCACCGAAATTGCGCATATGGAAACTGTGCATTTAGACATTATTTCGGTTTCAACCGAAACTGTGCATGTATGCTTTATTTCGGTTTTTACCATATGCATTATTTCGGTTTTAAACCGAAACTGTGCATGTATGCATTACTTCGGGTTTTTCATATGCATTATTTCGGTTTTCAACCGAAACTGTGCATGTATGCATTACTTCGGGTTTTTCATATGCATTATTTCGGTTTTCAACCGAAACTGTGCATGTATGCATTACTTCGGGTTTTTCATATGCATTATTTCGGTTTTCAACCGAAACTGTGCATGTATGCATTACTTCGGGTTTTTCATATGCATTATTTCGGTTTTCAACCGAAACTGTGCATGTATGCATTACTTCGGGTTTTTCATATGCATTATTTCGGTTTTCAACCGAAACTGTGCATGTATGCATTACTTCGGGTTTTTCATATGCATTATTTCGGTTTTCAACCGAAACTGTGCATGTATGCATTACTTCGGGTTTTTCATATGCATTATTTCGGTTTTCAACCGAAACTGTGCATGTATGCATTACTTCGGGTTTTTCATATGCATTATTTCGGTTTTCAACCGAAACTGTGCATGTATGCATTACTTCGGGTTTTTCATATGCATTATTTCGGTTTTCAACCGAAACTGTGCATGTATGCATTACTTCGGGTTTTTCATATGCATTATTTCGGTTTTCAACCGAAACTGTGCATGTATGCATTACTTCGGGTTTTTCATATGCATTATTTCGGTTTTCAACCGAAACTGTGCATGTATGCATTACTTCGGGTTTTTCATATGCATTATTTCGGTTTTCAACCGAAACTGTGCATGTATGCATTACTTCGGGTTTTTCATATGCATTATTTCGGTTTTCAACCGAAACTGTGCATGTATGCATTACTTCGGGTTTTTCATATGCATTATTTCGGTTTTCAACCGAAACTGTGCATGTATGCATTACTTCGGGTTTTTCATATGCATTATTTCGGTTTTCAACCGAAACTGTGCATGTATGCATTACTTCGGGTTTTTCATATGCATTATTTCGGTTTTCAACCGAAACTGTGCATGTATGCATTACTTCGGGTTTTTCATATGCATTATTTCGGTTTTCAACCGAAACTGTGCATGTATGCATTACTTCGGGTTTTTCATATGCATTATTTCGGTTTTCAACCGAAACTGTGCATGTATGCATTACTTCGGGTTTTTCATATGCATTATTTCGGTTTTCAACCGAAACTGTGCATGTATGCATTACTTCGGGTTTTTCATATGCATTATTTCGGTTTTCAACCGAAACTGTGCATGTATGCATTACTTCGGGTTTTTCATATGCATTATTTCGGTTTTCAACCGAAACTGTGCATGTATGCATTACTTCGGGTTTTTCATATGCATTATTTCGGTTTTCAACCGAAACTGTGCATGTATGCATTACTTCGGGTTTTTCATATGCATTATTTCGGTTTTCAACCGAAACTGTGCATGTATGCATTACTTCGGGTTTTTCATATGCATTATTTCGGTTTTCAACCGAAACTGTGCATGTATGCATTACTTCGGGTTTTTCATATGCATTATTTCGGTTTTCAACCGAAACTGTGCATGTATGCATTACTTCGGGTTTTTCATATGCATTATTTCGGTTTTCAACCGAAACTGTGCATGTATGCATTACTTCGGGTTTTTCATATGCATTATTTCGGTTTTCAACCGAAACTGTGCATGTATGCATTACTTCGGGTTTTTCATATGCATTATTTCGGTTTTCAACCGAAACTGTGCATGTATGCATTACTTCGGGTTTTTCATATGCATTATTTCGGTTTTCAACCGAAACTGTGCATGTATGCATTACTTCGGGTTTTTCATATGCATTATTTCGGTTTTCAACCGAAACTGTGCATGTATGCATTACTTCGGGTTTTTCATATGCATTATTTCGGTTTTCAACCGAAACTGTGCATGTATGCATTACTTCGGGTTTTTCATATGCATTATTTCGGTTTTCAACCGAAACTGTGCATGTATGCATTACTTCGGGTTTTTCATATGCATTATTTCGGTTTTCAACCGAAACTGTGCATGTATGCATTACTTCGGGTTTTTCATATGCATTATTTCGGTTTTCAACCGAAACTGTGCATGTATGCATTACTTCGGGTTTTTCATATGCATTATTTCGGTTTTCAACCGAAACTGTGCATGTATGCATTACTTCGGGTTTTTCATATGCATTATTTCGGTTTTCAACCGAAACTGTGCATATATGCATTATTTCGGTTTTTTTCGTATGCATTATTTCGGTTTTTTTCATATGCATTATTTCGTATGCACAGTTTCCATATGCACAATTTCAGGGTACCCTTTTCTTGGGATTGCGCAGAGCATACTTGAAATTTCAGCCTTCGAGCATGCGTTCATCTGACCAAAAGCATAAGAGTTACTGCATGCACGTTATCAACTCCTCGTCGCCGTACTTGAATAGCTCAGCTTTCAGGCCGTCAGCTCCACCAGTTTTGTTGTTTTTCAGCCTTGTAATTGCTATTAGTACCTCATAGTCAGGCGGTGGGGCATCGACTCCATCATCAATCGGGCCTCGGGGTCGTCTTCTGCACTACTTTCAGTTCCCTTTTTTGGAACCCTCCGTAAGTTGCCTAACTCTTTGGTAAAATTTTCAGTCGGTTTTCCTGTCGGCCAGTATTTCAAGCTGTTCGCACGTTTCGGCCTCTCTCTTATTGCGGCTCATACGTCTCTATTCTATCTATTGTATCTATTTTGAAAATAATACGTAGGTTCATTCAGTTAACAACTACTATATAAATATAAATAAAAACAACCTTTATTGTCATATTTTGCACAAGAAATATTTTGTCGTTAATTTTGTAGGTATTTTACTTTAAGGTTATCAACTACACTATTTATTTTTAAATTTTTAAACCTTATTCTTTGTCACGCTGTAAATAATTTCAAATGTTGCATAAACAGAAGAAGAATAGACAAAATTAGTCAGAATGTCACTCAACTTAATCAGCTGACCGCAAAGGTATATGGTCAAAATAGTCTGTATATTAAATTCCCTCAAAATATTAAGCCATTCCGCACAAAGTTCGAATTCCACCAAAACCGGGGAATTCTCCACCAGTTGGCATACCTGATTCCGATGTATTTAAATATTTTTGGTTGCGACGCTCTTCTATGCACAACTTGCTCTTAGTGACATTTTTACGGTTTTTTCTTTATTTCCCAATTAGCACTTTGCTCTTTTTTTGCGAAGAAAGTCATTGTCCTTCCGGTTTATGCCATCGAGGAATAGCTTTTAGCGCAATAACTTGAGCAGGCGGAGGTATTCCTTTCCGGTAGATGTCTATATACGGAACACGTATGTATATTAGGGTGGCCCTTAAAAATGAAATTTTAAGTCTCACCCCCTCAGTCGCTAATACAACGGTCAAAGATATCACATTAAAATTTTAGTCCCGATTGGAGACGGTTAAGGCGTGTCACACCGGGTTCAAAGTTCAGATTCCTCTATGCAGACTCAAAAAATTTAAATTAAGTTTTTTTCTTCATCTAATACCCAAAATCGATACTACTGTAGGCGCAGATATCACGTATAATTTTTGGTCCCGAGTGGAGTCGGTTAAGGCGTGTTGCACAGGGGTCAAAGTTCAGATTCCCCTATGGAGACTCAAAAAATTTAAATTAATTTTTTTTTCACATTACCCTACTCAAATCGGGACCAAAATTTATATGTGTGACATCTTCGACGTTAGTAGTATCGATTTTGGGTATTAGATGAAAGAAATGTTAATTTTAGTTTTTTGAGTCTCCATAGAGAAATCTAAACTTTGACCCCTGTGCGACACGCCTAAACCGTCTCCGATCGGGACCAAAATTTTTGTGTGATATCTTTGACTATATTAACATCGACGTGGGGTTGACGTTTAGGAAATCTGATGTAATAATGTACTTAATACATTTAAGGACCACCCTAATGTATATACATAGATGTTCGTTATTGTTGTTGTAGCGGATTACTAAAGCGTCAATTTCACTTTTTTCTTATACTCGTCGTTTTTTATGGCTTTTCCTATTTGCCCATTTGATATTATATCCATTTCGTGGTTCGACATCACGTTTGCGTTTGCGTTTTCGTTGTTTGCTGTTTCTCTGTTTTGTATTGAAATTTCATTCAAGTTTTGACCGCTGCTAAACTTCACTGACTTCTACGCTCCAGTGGGCGAGAGTAACGAGGTGTACTCAAAGCGCTTTGTGAATCGTACATTGCCGACGAGCACCAATGTTAATGGCAGCAGTTGATGCTCAAAGATAGCGAGTCATGTGCAATATTATTTTCATTGTTATTGTCATGTTTGTGTGAGTTACTTTTGTTTATATGGGCGCGTTGCCTGTTTTGATATTAGCGTTTATTGACGAGGAGGTGCTGCTGTTGGCCCGGTACTCTTGTACCATGATGATGCCACTAGCAATGGCCGCTGAGCAGCAGCAGTTGCTTGGCTGTTGACAAAAGCAAAGTGGCGCGCTAAACTGATTGACCGCCTGACTGCTCACGTAAGGCTGGCGAACAGGTTCACTGCTGTCTGAATGCTGCTTAACTGACTATCTAGCTGTTGGCCTTTTGTTGTCGTGGTCAGCGTTGCCATTTTAGCCGTTTTCCGGCTAGATTTAGCCGGTTTTGATAGCAACTAGCCGGAGAAAATTCAATCCAGCCGGCAGCCGATTTGTTAGCCGGTTTGTAAAAAAAAGTTAGCCGTTTTTAGCCGATTTTACTATTTGCCTAATTTCGAGGTGCAAAAAGTAAACAAGTTGTTCGAAAGCAATAATGCAGACCCAATGAAGATTTTTAATGAACTCAATGTTTTACTTTCGCATCCATGCTCCCTAGTGGTTATTAGCGCGAACACATTTGATCCTATATGCTCCCTGTTGGAACCATACCTTGCTCCATTNATTTTCACTAAAACATTTTAGCCGTTTTTTGCCAGAGTCTATGTGAAATTTCACTAAAACATTTTAGCCGTTTTTAGCCGCTTTTTTTTGCCAATCTAGCCGGTCGGCCCAAAAAGTTCTGGCAACACTGGTCGTGGTCGTTTGGCTCTCAAAGCGAGTTGGTATATAGTATTTCACATATCCGTCTTCGTCGCCTCTTGGCTGTAGCTACAATTGTTATTGTTGGTGCACTGACATGGCTGTGTCTGGTGGCTCACAGCCGCCAGCGCTGATTTTCATAGCTCAGTGCGCTTTCCTAACTTGAAGGCAACACCGCCAAGCACGCGCAACACGGCAAAGACACAGAACGGAACGCGCCTGGTTGTCGTATTGTCTACTCGGGGTCGTGAAGAAGAGCAGTGCACCGCAGCGCTTTGACAAAAAAAAAAAAAAAATTAAACTAAATAGAATCCAAAGAACATTACTAAGAATACGAATAAAGGGAATTAGGTTAAAAAAAGTACTCAAAAAAATTGGTGAAAGTGGATAAAGTATTTGCTGGCTATAAAGTGCATTACTCAAACCCCTAAATAACCCCCAGTAATCGGCCTCAATACACTATGGGTTTAGCCACATTGGTATCGTTTTGCTAATTACAAATACCTCATCAGCGCTGCAGCAGCAGCGATGTTGAAACAAAGAAAACGCCAGGAGGCAGAGGAAAACAAAAGCTAAACTGCCAGCTAGCCATCTTTCTAGCCCGCCAACGAGCGTTAACTTAATTACTTAACAAACTAGCGGCCACATTATTGCAGATCAGCGCTAGCGACAGCGGACCACAAGTGATTAGCGTTAAAAGTGCAGCTTCTCCAGCACCTAATTTGGCTACTCAACCTAAATTTTGACTTCCTTTTACTTACATACATACATATGTATGTACATATGTACATACTCCAATTTAAGTTGGTGAAGGTACTCGTTTATTTTTGGTGGTACAGCTCCGAATCAGCTTTCCATATATCGGTGCTCCACCGTTTCTGGATTCCATTGCGCTTCTACTAGACCTGCATATGTGGCTGTGATTATAAACATATTAGTTGCGATTTATTCCTTTATTATTGTACTTCGTTGTTGTGCGCCGCTTGTTACCTAGTTATTTGTTATGCAATGCCGCACTTCGATGAGTCGTTTGTAAGCGACTGTGATTTCGCCGAGCGCCAGCATGTATTCTCGTATTCACTGGATCGTGGCGTGAAACTCTATCAGAAGCGCAAACTTAAATCACCAAAAATTTTTTATACACGTTATCGGCCGCGTGTGGTCGTAAAAAATGTCGTTCAATGTAAGTCCAAATCAATGCGTGAGCAGCACTATTTATGGATTTGTGTGATTGCATGTCTGTACATACATATATATATATACATATAAATATTAATTGATTTCAGTGTGTAAAGATAAACGTGTATTAAAATGAAATTTGCAAATAGTTTTGGCTTTCCGGGTCTACATTGTATAGTTTGTATAGCCGGTTTTTCCACTCTCTCCTCTGGTTATTATCTGAAGCACAGCGTGTTAAGCAATAAACAAATGAAATGTTAACAAACAAATTCTTGTATAAATTCTGCGTTTTTTAGCTTTAGATTTGAATCAGCAAATAACTAAAACTTGCGAAACGCTTGCATACGCATACTTGGCAGGCAACGCTGGGCCAGTTGTTGGCCTATAAAAATAATTTATTAAGAACTTATCCAAGCTCACTCACAAATATAGCGGAAATATCCACAATTTATTATACTAAGTACTCTTAACTTAGCGATTTTTGCGGAAACTGCTTCGAAGTCCTGGACAGCCAAAGCATTCAGTGATGGGATGGCAGCGTCAATTTCATTGACATTGACATGTATTTAATAAGTATCAAAGTATAAGTTCAAAATTTACATGTGGTCTCGGCCATTTTGTGTTTTTGGCTGTCACTGTCAAAAAATAAATAAAATAAATAAAATAAATTCTAAAGCATATAACACTGTGGAACAAAAAAAACTAGAGTGCGTATATGTATATTAGGGTTGATAGCTGTTGGTTATACAAACAATGCCTCATACTCAGATTTACTAGATCAATTCTTATCCTCGAGAAAAAAAAGTTTTGATGATCCTAAAATCTGAGTGTAGCGCCAAATTTTGTTCTCCAATTTTTGAAAATGCATCGTTTTTTGGCTACATTTGTTTGTATGCTATTTTCAACAATTTTTTTTTTCGAAAACACGAATTGGTCTAGTAAAACTGAGTATGAGGCATTGTTCGTATAGCCAACAGCTATCAAACCTGATATACATATGCGCACTCTAGGTTTTTTCCTTAAGATCATGTTTGTTCAATGGTGTAATTAATTCAATATCCTAAGATGAATAACCTATCCTTATGTGTGCATAGGAGCCCCGACCATTAATTTAAAAACTAAAAATCATACATATGTTTATCTATCTACCCGGATCTATTGATAACCATAAAAATAAATATTGACAAAATTATAGATATGGATAAATAAATCGATGAATATTTCGATTTCTACCAATAATTTTATAATCAACTAATTAAGAATCTTTTTACTTTTTTTACAGACAGTGCCATCAGTTCTCCATCCACACCTAATTCCTCACTTTCTTCACAATCGAATATTGTTTGTGGAGGTGGTACACCATCGCCAAACACACCCTCTCCCGCCACACCTACATCTCAACAATCCGCAAATACACCGCTGAGCGGCAATAGTGCGATATACCAGACCCCGGGTAGCGGATTTAGTGTTTCAACTTCTGGACATAAAAACAGTTTGAAAGGTACGAAATTGGCGCGTAGAGCGCGCTCTTTCAAGGACGATCTGATCGAAAAAATCTCCATGATTCGCACACCAAACAATACTTTGGGAAGGTAATATTTGGAAAAAAAATAAAAGTTATTTATGTTAAATATGCTTCGGTTCATATATTTTTGCAGATCCCATTCCCCGCACAGTCCACGTAGTAAACCCATGAAACCCCCACCGACCGCCGAAGAGGTGGCTAAGTCTGCCAGTTCGCTGGAAATGCATGTTAAGGATATTTCAAATGCTTTAAAGCACTTCCGCGATGTTATACTCAAGGCTAAGCTTGAAGTTCTGCCAGGCAATGCAACTGTTATTCTTGAGACTATTGCTAGCATGTACACCGTAATACAGTCATATGCATTGGACAAACATAGCACCGTCCTTTTGTCGGCAACTCAACAAGTGTATCAGTCGCTGGGTAAATTGGTGAAGCTCTGCGACGAGGTAATGCTTATATATGCAGCGCGGCGTAGCGACGACGAAAGATGCGAAGATCATGCGGAAGAGGATCATCAACAGCTTAAAGCATTGCTCAGTGAAGATAACGTAAAGGAGATTGTTGATTTGCTTGGCGATGCGGTGCGAGTAAGTCCGGCAAATAATCTACATTTATTTACATAGTATATACTATGTATGTACGTTTTCATTAGTGTGCGTGCTTATTTGTTCGTGCATTTTATGAGCTTGATCATTGATCACATTGTTCGTCTCTCAGCTGTGCAGTGCGCAAAAATTTCGCCATAATAATAAAAAAAATAGAAATAACACAGAGGCAAACTCGTTATGAATCAGTGCCGCCCTGAGGCAAATTTTTTAGCTGTGCAAACTTTTTCGACGCTAATGGCGTCGTTGTCTCTCTGATTCAACGATAAAAATAGCGCACAACGAAAACAAGCGAAAAGGCAAGCAGATTACAAAGTATTAAAAGTACAAACCTAAAAAATATGCATATAAAAATAAAACACAAAAAAGTAAATAAAAGCGTTCAGGGTCAAGTAGAGATGAGATCAAAATTCTTTGTTTTGCAAATTAACGTATAACAGCTTCATCTATCTGTATGTTTAGCTCAATTTTACTAATTCATTATTTTTATTCACTTTAATTATATTGCATATTTTCTTTATACTCGTTCTTTAGAATTTGGCGACACTCGCTCAGCAAAAATTGAAGGAACGCGAGGAGAACGCTTTCAAGTATGCACCGAGCAATGTCGACGCCGCTGTAATAGCAGACAACGCTGACGCGTCACAGAATCACTTAATGCGACTGCCGGTGGAAGTTGCTGGTCAACGTACATCGCTGCCGGACATAACGCTAACACCGAAGTAGGTCTAACAAATGACAAACACATATTCGTAACCTACATTTTCTTTAATATTATCGCTCTTGGTATTTAGGAAGTAGGATAGCCATTGAGTAAAGGGGTCATTGGTTGCACTGCACGAATAAAGAGCTATAGAAATGTTTCGTTTCTTTTTTTTTTCTTAAATGATACCATACCTTTTGTTAAACCAGTAAGGGTTTCCGTCGAAACCCTTGTGTTTCCCAACGTGTTATTCAATGTTGCCAGCTTGAAAAAAACATAAAAAACAACAATTTTGGAGATTTTTTGTAATCTTACCCATAAAATTCGAGTCCATATCGCATACGAACTGCTCAAACGATTTATTTATTGCAATTTTTTTATTCTGATAAGATGTAAAACAAAAAAAGGGTTGGCAGCAATGTGAAATCTAAAACCCTTTAAAAGCTCAATAGTATGTATATTTAAATTTCTACAGTGAAACGGAAAATATATAAAAGTTTAAAAAATAATATTTCGGATTTCTTAAAAGTTATCCCGGGTTCCCTCTAGGCATTAAATGGCACAAATTTTAATTGCATGGTTGGGCATTAAAAATACCTGTGCCATTACGTTAAGAAAAACTGTCATAAAATTCGTTTCAAGATGGCATTATTTAAATGGCACGCATATTTCGTCATTTAAATGTCTAGTGGAAATTCGACATTACAATAAAAAATATTTAAAAAATTAAACTTCAACAAAATCAACAATATCTCAAAGAAATAACATTTAGTAATAGTATGATTTTAAGTAGGGTTGGTAACCCCCCAAAACCCAAGATGAAGTAAATATGTATGTAATTTAAATGAAATGTTACAATTCGTGTATAGGGTTGCCACCAGTATTTAATAAGAAAATGACACGTAGTTTAATATACATGACCCTAAAAGTCTTTGAATAAGCTTTTATGTTAAAATGATTTTAATTGGGTTGCTACACATCCAAAACAAAGATGCGGTAAAAATAGAATCATATAAAACATTTGCTACTAAAATTACAAAGTGCAATTACTGCGAGCTACGCACTTCAAACAAAACACAATTTACTCTTGCTCTTTTTTGGTATTGTTTCAAACAACGAAAATCTATTCAAACTTTAAAGCCCATTTCTCAAATATAAATAAGGAAGTGATGGCAAAAACGATCCAGTGAGTCAAAAGAATTGAAATTAAGAAAGTCATTGAATTACTTTTGGAAACCAAAAGATAATAATAATAATAATAATAGATTGGGGCTTACACATATGTTAGTATTTGGCCGCGCTTCTCCTTCGATTTGTGGCGTGCGCCTTGATGTTGTCACACAAATGGGAGGTACCTACCGTTTTACGCCGACTCCGAACGATGATTGTATTTTTATGAAAAGCTGTTTTTCATGGCAAAAATGCACTCGGAGGTTAACCTTTGCCTGCCTATTAGAGGAAAACTTTTGTTTTTCATTTTTTGATGGTTGGTTTAACCGGGCTTGAACCCAGGCCCAGCAAACCACTACACCATAGCGGCCAAAATATAATAATACGATTTCCTGTTGCTTATAAGTAGGGCTATACAAAACATGCACTAAAAATACCATTTTAAGCGCTTAAAAAATGCAATTAAAATAGGAAAAAAATGCTATCAGATATGCTTAAAAAAAAACAATTTATTAATATTTTTCAGTTTTTTGGTTAAAATACTTACATACATATATGCAAAATACATAGTATATAAATATGAACGTACATTCGCATGTTTGTACAACATACTAAAATAAAAACATCTAAGTATTTTCAGTTACATTGTTCTAGAAAAAACATATATGTAAATATCTTCGGTAAGGTAAACAAGTCAACTTTACAAGCTGAGTATCTAACGAATGATTGAAAAGTATTGTTGTTACAATAAACAACAAAATATTGAGTTATGTTCTCAAATAAAAAGGCACGCCTTTTTTCTCGTAAAAAGTTTTTGGTCATGGAAAATGTTCGCTCTGTATCAACAGATGTAACCGGCGCATATTTAAAAGAGGCAATTTTCGAAACCGTGAAGTCGCTTTGGAAAGTCGAAGTATTGCCGGCAAAAGTATTGGAAATATTTTTAAGCATTTCAAAACCTTATTTTTTCATTACCACTGCTTCAAGTTTATTTGTTACGGCAGGCAAGTTCACAGATCCAATTTTACTTTTGGCATCATTTAGAATGTCGATGGAATTTTTTAATTAAAGATCTGAAGTTTCCAATTTTTGTATGCTTTTTGGAATAAATCCATATTTGACACTGATAATAATAATTTGGTTCTTAAGCTCAGGTTTTTCAAAAAGAGTTTTTGCAGACTTTATAGCGGATGCCCCCTCGCCGTCAAGAGTATTAACAATTTCCTTTACTATTTCGATGTTATCTGCATAATAGCTAACAGCCTCTAGCCATGATCCCCATCTAGTGACCACAGGCTGTAGTGGCAAAGGCAATTCGCACATTTCTTTAAACGGTCAACTAGTGGATGAAGCGAGCGGATTGTTTCACAAGGGTCCGCGTTTGCGCGCCACCACTGAAAATTCTAAGACGCTGAGAACAAATATGCGAATAGTACTGAAGGCTAAAAAAAACAGTAACAATTTACTTTTAATTTCCAATAATTTGCTTATCAGTTATTGACAAAAATACCGTGTGATTTTATGCGTTTACTTCGGAAGGGAATTTAACGGAGAACTACACTGTATGCAAAAATATAGATCAATTCGTTTAAAATGCGTTCCATTCTATGCAAATGTATGCCTGAATACATAATTGCAATGTTTCAGTAAAATAAAGCCAGAGAAAGCACTACTCACGGGCTTTATTTCATTTTTTACGAAGTAAATCAGGCGGGCGTTATCTCCTTTTCTTTGGGAAATAAAGTCCACGGCTATTATTGCTCTTTCGCAAAGTAAATGAAGCCCGCGAGCGTTATTGCCTTTTATTGGTGGGCGCTATTTCCCCTTCGTAATGGAAATAACGCCCATGGGCTTTATTTCTTTTTTTTTTGGAAATAAAGGCCATGGGCGTTATTTCCGCGCGCCTTATTACACTCCGCCTAATATATGCTTTATCAAATGTAGCTAGTTTTATTCGTTGCGAAGTAAAATATCCAAAAATGTAAAAATCTTGGACAGGTTACAGCAATTTTACTAATTGTGGGCCCCTTTTAAATAGATTTCTTTTTAACATTCGCACGATCGTGTTACAATTTTTCTGGACCGATTCTCTTTGTCGACCTCCACGATATTACCTTTGGTTAGAAATTCGTATTACTCTTACGCTCGGGAATCTCCTAATTTATGAATTTTTGAATTTGCATTCCTTGCCCTATAACATTTCCAAAAAATAATGCACAGGAAAGGTTTTTATCTAAATAAATTCTATACATTTAGAAAAGCGAATGAAGCTCGAATATTTTTAAGGTTATATTGCAAGGCATTATCGAACCACTCTCCCTCACATCCTTATCAATCATTACATATGCACATATGGACCTAAACACACAACGGACATACGTAATTAACTTATTTGATGGTTTATAATTTCAGGGAACGTGATATTTTAGAAAAAACCAACTCGAATCCCATACGCGCATCTCACAGTACCGAGAGTATATTGCGTGATACGAGTCCACCACCCAAACCGCCGCTACCAAACAGGTGAGAAAATGCCGAGAGTATTCGTTGATAACGCTATTATTGGTTTAATTCTTATACAATTGATAGACCACCACCGCTGCCGCCCAAACGTCGTATTCAACAGCAACAACAACAGAATTCTCATAGTAAAAGCATCAACTCAGACTTGGATTGGAGTTCTGACGTTTCACTCGTAAACTATGGTGTTGATTAGTAAGTTGCTGCAATCCTAAAGCAATTTCAAGATCCTGCATTGTTTATATTTATGTACATTTTAATATCTATCATCAGTAATCTATCCGTGCGGTCACACTCGCCGGACGAAAATTCTAGTCAATGTTCGCTAGATTCGGAATTGAATCACTCGCGCGAGGAGGAGGAGCTCAAGTCATTGGTGTTGGGCAATCGCCTCAACGAAAGCATGCTCGATAATGATGTAGATACATTATTCATATCCAGTAAGTTTGATCAATAACCGCATCTTAAGTATACATAATACTACTAATTGAATATTACAATAATAAATATGTATACATAAATAAAAAACACGAATCTCGTATTTACATAGAACCACTCACAAGCGGTGGCAAACGGGCTATGTTGAACAGCAAAGTAGCTGGCAACAAATCAGTTGGCTCTATTAGTGGCGTCGGCGTTGCTGGTGAGCCTCTTAACACCGCTTTCAGCGCACCAGCACAAAACGTCTTCGATAGTTCCAAACGCGTTGGGGTCAGTGGCGATGATGCTGATGAATGTGATTACATACAAAGTGTGAATAGTAATAATGGCGCTGGATGCACAGTGGATAAACTGGAAATGCGCAAAAATACTAACAATCGTCATTCCAATGAATCGGGTACTTAAGAAATCAACTATGCATTTGTTTTAAATGCATTCATATGTTGCGATCATTTTTGTTGTCACTAAGCTTCGATGCGATTTCGTTTTCTATTAGTTTGTTTGATTTATTCATTTTAAAACGCATGTCTCCCGCCATAACGTTTTTTTGTTGTTGTTATTATTTTAATGTGGCTACCAATAATAGAAAGAGATTTGTCTGTTCAACTTATTTAACGTATTGTTTTGTCATAGTAATTAGTTCTATTGCACCTTTCTATTGAAGTGTTTGGTTATGTTTGGCAACTAAAAGTGGTGTACCACCGTTTTCTTTTTCAGGCTTTGTTTCCATGACATCTGTGCGCACCTCGGCGCAGAGCGTATCGAAACGTTCATCCGATGGTGGCTTTCAATCATCAACCAAATCTAGTTCTAACTCGGAAATAGCTTTCGAGGCCATTGAATCGTCTAGCAGTGGGGAATTCCACACCCAATCACAAGAGTTCCACCACCAGCAAACCACATGTTCGTCTATGCCGAATGCAATGTCGTCCACAATGATGACAACATCAAATAGCATCATGAATAATATGTCTACACTGGCGCACGATGCGCGCTCGATTAGCAATACAAGCAGCGTTAGTCCTGATCACTATGAAAGCGGTGGAATTTTAACGGAACGTTCGGTTCACAACAGCAGTAGTAGTCACGTGCAGTCGTCGTTTTCATCGTTGGTAAAGGCTAATAGTTTGGATACCACTTCTTCTTCGGATGGAGGCATGGGTTCACACAGTGATCTAGTGCCGCCCGCACTGCCGCCCAAAACCAGTCGCAGTAAGGAGGCACGTATATTCTCTCAGTATGACAATTTTGATGAAATGGACGATAACAATAGGTAAGTGAAGTATGTAGTGTAATGGTAAATATTAAGCAATGTACATATATCGTACGAGATTGTGCCTCAGCGCACCTTAAAGTGTTGCACTCGATACTACTTTATCCTAATAGATGGAATCTTCTCAAGAAGATCACATACTAATTTATCGATATCCATTGCTTTGATTTCGATGGTGTAAATCAAATTTAAGTTGCTCAAGTTTTCATTTTACGTTTCTTGATAACATAAAGTATATACATATATAAAAAAAAAACTTTTTATAGAAATTTTCTTCAAGTATTTCACAAAACTTTGAATACAACATTGAGTGTTCGCTATGCAAAAAACTTGCAAGGAGAGAGCTAAATTTTGACATTTCATTTGTAGGGGAAGTTGCAAATTCAATTATTCAATTAAACTTAATTTCAAACACTTGAAAGGTATTCTGCTTAAAAAGTTGTATTCGTAATCGGAACGCAGTCGACACCGCTGTCGATATAGGAAATCCGACAGTGACGAGATTGAAGCGTATGTTGAAGAAAGTCAGAATAAGAAGAAATAAACGTATAGATATTGTTTTGTTTTCCACCTGAAATAATTAAAAAAATTTATTTTGTTCGAAATGCAACCGTGGACGCCAGCTGGCATAAAGCTTGCAAATGTTTGCTAATCCTGTTCGCGCAAAACTTAGTAAGTTTCGCTCTTTGGTAGAGTAAAAGCATAAACAGACGGCTTCGTTAATCCGGATCAACTCGGGAATTAACTGCAGTTGATCCGGAATAACTTCGAATTAATCTGTTTAAGCTTTAAGATACCTTATTCTCTGAATTTTGTTACTGGCTAATTCTTACTGGCTTTTGCATAGCGAACAGAACCGTTTTGTCTGTTCAAAGAAAAGCAAAACTCCACACGAATCAGATGAATTCGATCTATATCAAAAGATTTCGTACTATTTTGACCTTATCGGATTTTCGGTGCTTCGTTTAGACTTACACCCCTATGCTGTAATCCGAATGTTCGTAGCTACGAATTCGTAGCTCCGTTCCGAAAATTCGAAAATTGATATGCTGTAATCCGATCGTGACTATCAGCGGCGCTGCCAGCTAAAAACGTGAAATTCGAAGTTCTTAATCAGCTGCTTTGACAGAAACAAATCAAAATAAATATAATCGCAAGTGAATAGTGGAATTAAAAAAAAAAATAGTTGAATCATTATTTGAAAATACTTTTCCTTAATTAAGTAGAATACAAAGGTTTCAGTGGCCGGTGCACTTTTTTCCCAGGAGGAAGAACACCTAACAGTTGCATTAATATACAAAGGAGACTGATAGGAGATTGTTCCGTTAGCTTAAATTTTAAAATGTAAGCTCCCTCCTTTTAAGGGCCTCCATTTCACTAGATATTGACCTGCTTTAATTCATGGAACGCTTTCTCAAAATTCCAGCACATCCTCTTAGCTCCTTTTACAAAGCCTCGACCAATGTCCGGCCTTACACTCATGCATTCCACCAGTTTTTCGTATTGCGAGTGATTTGTTGTGATCTTCGATATGATAATTTTGTTAACATTTAATAATCAATTTTTTTCTATTCACACTTCAACTTACATACATACTTTTGCGTTTACACTCTTTATTTTATTGATATTTTAACACAATTTGTTTCGCTCCGACACGAGTTGCTATTCGTACAAAATTTCCGACAAATACATAAAAATTACAGCTACGTCGGATTCAGGCAACCCACATTACGAATTTCGAAGATGGCCTACGAATTTCGAAACGACAACGCGGATTTCAGCATACCAATTTTACGATTCGTAGCAAAATCGAATCTACGACGGATTACAGCATAGGGGTGTTAGTAAATTTTCCTTTCATTGAATATAAAAGAGAATAAATAAAACAAATGCCTTCATCCTTTTCGAAACAACGCATTTTAAGTTTCTCTAGCCCCCTGTATCAAAATATAAGTTTTCATAAAGGTGGACTTAGCAACTTTTCACTCTAAGCTAACGATATGTAATTTAGCAGAGGTGATAGTCTTGGCAGCGAATGCTCATTACTAGTATTGATAATAAATTGTCCGTTTTTTTTCAGCGAACTAGCCGAACTTCGACCACATCATCACTATAACTTCAATAGCTATAGCCAGCATAATCAACACTCATTGCAACAGCATCATAACCATCATCATCAATATCAGCATCATGTGTCGCAGTGGCAGCAAACTAAACATCAAAGTCTCATCGAATCACGACGTCTCGGCGGCGGTTTTGTCAGCAGTTGCACAACTATGGGTAGCATTGGAGTCGACGTCAGTGGCAGCGGCAGCGGCAGCGGAAGCGGTGCGGAACAACCACCGCCGCTACCCATCAAGAAAAAGCACAGTAAGTTCAATCACACGGTATACACAATTAATTTATATTTTTGTTTCTTTCTCTTCTGTTTTCTTTCCTATTTTCCACACACTCACTAAATGTACGTCACATATTGGGTTTGGTTTTATATTGTTTTGTGCAATTTGTTTTTGTGTACCTTTTGTAAAAATACACATTTACACCTACACATTCGTGCGCACTTGCATAAATAATTCTATTCTTGGCGCACACACGCCCACACAAACGAACAAAACCACATAAACAAATCCGCCTATAAAATTGGATCCACTGATTTCCTGATTGTGGTTGGTGGTGGCGGCGATGGTGGTCCATTCACTTTCACCTTCGCATAAAATATATATTTTTTTACTGCTTTATACATAATACGTATGTTAATGAACCGTGGCAACAATACACATACACATTATTCACTACAATTACTCTGTTGAAAACCTGATTTAATGATATAAACAAATTCTTATTTTAATATTATCTATTTCGCTTACTTTTCTATTGAATTTAATTTTTTTTTAACTTTACGCTAATAGTATTTGTCATAAGTCTCTTGCATATAATATCAAACACAAAACACTTAGACGCAACTCAAAAATCACAACAACAGCAGCGACTGTTATTGACCACGCAAACGAAACGACTATTCGTCAAACTACTCCAGTTACTTCCATATTTTGCGCTATACTTCCTGTATGTAGTAACGGGTATCGCAAAACATACAACAAACTCCACAATAATAATTTCACTGACTTGCTTAGCAATAACAAGGAAACCGAAACCGACAAAACAGTAACAGCAATAGCTACTTCAACCACACCACAAACAGCAGAAACCAATAAACACTATTATAAAAATAATAACTGTAATGATAATAATAAATGTAATATTGTCTTGCGGAAAACTCTAACCCTAATGAATTGTTCTAACGATTTAGTGTTTCAAAGTGTGGCCTTCTCGGGTAAGTCAAGTTAGCCTGCCTTCTCCACTCTTAGAATGCATAAAAGTATAATATAGTGCAACTGCATCATTTCTGTTATTGCTTTACATATATGTACATACGTTTAAAATTCAAGTTGCAGATATTTTTTTATCTAATGCTTGCTGTCTTTGCGTTGATTTATTCCGTGATTGATTTCAAGTTCAAAGCAGTTTGATTTCACATTTACTTTCTGGGCCATCCGAGAAATAGTCAACCAAAATCGCAAAATGCATGCAATGCGAATTCTCTAATTTTTGTGTCAAAAAAGGCATAGTACAACCCAAGGCATACTTAACAAGGTAGAAGTGATTTTGACATTTTTCTCTTTTGATCACCGACTATAATGTCAAATGATGAATAACTTTAAACCCTTTTCAAGTTGGCATTTTCTAATTTTCTTTAAAAATTCAATTGCGTGCTTTGATACAGTTTTCAATTGTGTGAATTTTTTTCTTTTTCGACCACATGTATTTATAGATACATACATATACAAAAATGAAAAGGAGCAGGAACATTCCCACGACAGCCGGTTCTACGTACCGGAATGACTTGGGTTTTACCCGACCAAGGGCTGTTGTTTCGGCGATCTAACCCCGTTTAGGTCGGCGACGTATCTCAGAAGTTGTTCGTCCATAGGGCTACATTCGCTACGTTTTCTCCTGCTCAGGGCTGGCATCGAGTCAAACCCAGGGCCAGAAACCTACACCTGCTGTGTATGCCAGAGACGACTACACCACAACTCCACCTCTGTCAAGTGCAATGCTTGCGAGGGGTGGAGTCACCTCAGAGTCTGCTCAGGACTACGGACACATCGGCAGTGGACCACGTCTTTTGTGGCCCCCTGCTGCTCTAACAGAGTAGCTTCCACGGCTAACCTCAGTCCACCTGAGCAGCCCCACACAAACACCACAGCACAACAATATAACACAATAGACCACACCACAACGGCTACAGACCACAGAACACACACAACCGCACCACCACCCACACGCCGCCGCCGCTAACAACTCCTGGTTCCTCTTACAATCTGCACGGTATGTCAGACCAGGATATTCCGTAATGTGACATCAGTCAAGTGCAATACCTGCCTTGGCTGGTGCCACTTTAGGTCATGCTCAGGTCTGCGCACCACGCGAGATTGGACGAGGTACTTCGAGGGCCCGTGTTGCGCTGCTCGGTCGCAGACCTCAACTGCGACGCCTCCCGCCCCCACCTGGCGGCAACCACCTCAGCAGCGCACACAGCCAACTGCGGCACGACCACACACATCCCTCACAGCCCGCATCACCACACGTCTCCCGAATCACATGAAGCTTCTTCAATTTAACTAACGGGCTTCAGAGCAAGATCGAGGAGATAACCGTCTTCATGGGATGGCATGGCATATTGATAGCTGCGGTCCAAGAGACGAAGTTGCACAGCAATTCAACACTGTTGAATTGTGCCGGGTACAACGTGCACCGTCGAGATCGCGAGCGGGGTAATGGTGGTGGCTTAGCGTTCATCACGCACCACACCGTGCAGTATCGTCTTATCGAAGCAGACNAACGTGCACCGTCGAGATCGCGAGCGAGATAATGGTGGTGGCTTAGCGTTCATCACGCACCACACCGTGCAGTATCGTCTTATCGAAGCAGACATCGACTGCAGGGATACCACCCTAGAATGTCAGCGAATTGCTATCCGGTCAGGCGATGTTGAGTTCGAAATATTTAACGTTTATATACCCCCTGTCACCTGCTGCCCGGCAGGATATCACCCTGACTTGGTGCGCTCCTCAGAGGTGAAAACCGTATGGTAGTAGGCGCCTTTAATGCGCACCACGATCTTTGGCCCTCAAGCCTGTCAAACAATCGTAGGGGAACTGACTAGGCTGAGCAGATAGACGATTCGACATTCTGCACAATGAACGACGACGCACCCACCAGGATTATGGGCAGCTGCTGCAGCTCGCCAGACATAACAATAGTCAGCGCTAGTCTGATAAACAGCATATCATGGCGACCTATGCTGACTTTGGCATCAGACCATCTGCCCATAGTCATCTCGATCGATAAACCAACCGACTTTGCTTCCGCGGAGCACCGAACATATATCAACTTTTCTAAAGCTGATTGGAAAGGCTTCGCGGAATTTACTGAAAACATCTTCTCTGCTCTCCCCACACCAACCGACGTACACCTTGGTGAACGTAAGTTCCGCAGGGCTATCACCGCTGCCCACCCACGTCCAAATTTCCCTGCTGAAGCGGCTGTTCTAGCCGATGATCGTGATAGCCTTCGGTAGGCCGATCCCGGAGATCCCCGTATCAGGGATCTCAACGCGGAGATTCGGCAACTTGTAAACGTACATAAGCGGAAGAAGTGGGAGGAGCATCTGAAGACTTGTAATTTCACCTCTGGTGTGAGCAAGCTTTGGTCAACCGTGAGGTCATTGTCTAATCCGACGAAGCACGACGACAGAGTCGAAATTTCCTTCGGCGACCATGCTTCGTCGGACCCGGAGCGATGCGCGAGCTATTTTAGCCGGCAGTTCATACTGCATCCTCCGGTGGACAAAGCTAAGCGTCGAGTGACCAGTAGGCTTTCGGAGTGCTTTCACTTGCGGTGAAGTTCAGGTGGCCACCGGGAAGGCGAAAGCCTCCAAAGCCATGGATCCCGACGGAATATCCATGCTGATGCTGAAAAATTTGGGTCCTGCGCGGGTAGCGTACCTAACGGAGGTCCTCAATTTGTCTATGGCCACTCTCATCATCCCAGACATCTGGAGGGTGGGGAGAGTGGTCCCACTGCTCAAACCGGGGAAACCTGCCAACATAGGAGATTCTTATCGGCCGATAACACTCCTTTCCCCGGTACCGAATACACTCGAGGCCTTGCTGCTCCCGTATTTCACAAACCACTTGACCCCAGCGAAGCATCAGCATGGTTTCCGTAAAGTGCACAGTACAACAACTGCACTTAACGCCATAAACACTCAGATAACTCGTGGCCTTAACATCAAACGTCCCTGTGAGAGAACGATTCTAGTAGTGTTGGACCTGTCAAAGACTTCGACACTGTCAGCCATTCCACGCTACTAGAAGATATAGAGGCTTCCTCTCTCCCACAGAGGCTCAAACGGTGGTCGGCAAATTATCTGAGTGGTCGACACTCGTCGGTAATGTTCAGAGACAAATCGAGCAAACTTAGAAAAATAAAACAGGGGGTTTCACAGGGTGGTGTCCTTTCCCCGCTACTGTTTAACTTTTACATTTCAAAGCTCCCTCAACCACCAGAGGGAGTCTCGATTGTCTCTTACGCCGACGATTGCTCGATCATGGCGACTGGGAATGGAATTGATTACCTGTGTTCGAAAGTAAACTAGTAAACGGGTATCTCTCTGAACTTTCTCGCTTCTTCACTGCAGAGTGTCTAGCCCTCTCCCCTACGAAATCCTCTGCGACCCTGTTCACAACCTGGACGAAGGAGTTCAGGCTACCGCTAGGAATTCGCGTCGATGACACATCGGTGAATAATCCTAACATACTCGCAGTAACATTCGACAGCCTGCTCTCCTTCTCTGCGCGCGCAACCGCTATTGTCAATAAAGTACAGAGCCGCAACAAGGTCCTAAAGTCGCTAGCCGCCAGTACTTGGGGCAAAGACAAAGAAACGTTGCTGGCAACATACAAGGCAATAGGCCGGCCGGTTTTAAACTACGCAGCACCAGTGTGGTCGCCGGGGACTAGTAGGACGCAGTGGATGAAGCTACAGACGGTACAAAACACAGCACTTAGGACAGCGACCGGATGCCTCCTGATGTCACCAGAACACCACCTCCATGATGAGGCGAAAAAGCTCCCAATTAGGGAGCACAATACGATGCTCTGCAAGCAGTTTCTGGTTGGGAGCCACAGATGTGGCCACCCAAATAGACAGCTGCTTGCAGAGGAGCCCTCGCCCAGGCACGTCAGGAGGTATCTATATAAACTGACGGACGAAGTCCAGACCTTCATTAAGCAGCCTCTGGACCC